AGTCGGGGCGCCGGATTCTGTCTCGGTTGCCCCTCTTCCAGGCCAGCTCTCTGCTGTGGCCAGGGAGTGCAGTGGAGGATGGCCCAAGTGCTTGGGCCCTGCACCCCATGGGAGACGAGGATAAGTACCTGGCTCCTGCCATCGGATCAGTGTGGTGCGCCGGCCGCAGCGTGCCAGCCACGGCAGCCATTGGAGGGTGAACCAACGGCAAAGAAAGACCTTTCTCTCTGTCTCTCTCTCTCACTGTCCACTCTGCCTGTCAAAAAAAAAAAAAAAAAAAAAGAGAACCTGTTCCTAAACACGTGGATCTCGTTCTCTTTCTCTCCATCTCCTGATCTCTGTCTCTCCCTATATCTCTCTCTTACGCTCTCCTTCTCCCTCTTTTCCTTCCTCGCCCCTTTCCTCCAATCTGTCAGGTTTCCCTCAATAAACTCTTTCTTTCCCTTAACATGAAAAAAAAAAGAAAGAAAGAAAGAATCCGCGAGGGGCTCAGCACTGTGGCATGGCAGGTAAAGCTGCCACCTACAGTGCCTGCTGGGTGCCGTGTGGGGCTGGCTTGAGTTCTGTCTGCTCCACTTCCAATCCAGCTCTCTGCTCTGGCCTGGGAAAGCAGTAGAAGACGGCCCAAGTGCTTTGGTTCCTGCACATGTGTGGGAGACCCAGAGGAAGCTCCTGACTCCTAGCTTTGGATTGGCCCAGCTCCAGCCGTTGTGGCCGTTTGGGGAGTGGGCCAGCAGATGGAAGATCTCTCTCTCTCTGTCTCTCCCTCTCTCTGTCTGAACTCTTATCTCTCAAATAAATAAATAAAATCTTAAAAAAAAAAAAAAAAGAATCCATGAGTATCTATTGCCAACTGCAATAGATCCTCAGTTTTCCTATTTGGCTTTTATGGCCTTCCATACCCAATGATTCAGATCCTAGTAAGACTCCCAAATCCCATATCAGATTACCTGGGTTCAAGTCCTGGCTCTGCTGCTGATTCTAGTCTCCTATTAACACAAGCCTGGGAAGCAGCAAGTAATAGCTCAAATATTTGGATCCCTGCCATTCAAGTTAGAGACCTGGATTGAGTTTCTGGCTCCTACTTTTGGTCTGGCCTACCCCTGGCCATCACAGGCATTTGAGGAGTGAACCAGTAAAATGGGGACTCTCTATCTATCTGTATCCCTTTCTCTCTCTTTCTGCCTTTCAAATAACATAAATCATTAATTAATTAATTAAAATAAGGCCTTCCATAAACTATTGTTTGGATCCTTTCTGTTTCCAAAAACAGATCATTCCTCTTCCACCCTCCCTGACTTTACTCAGCCTGATTCACCTGCAGGGAATAGTTGTTTCTTTTTTCTTTTCTCTTCTATTCTAAACCATTATGGCTCAGTGAAAGTTAAGAAAGTATTTTTTTAAAAGATTTATTCATTTATTTGAAAGGCAAAGTTACAGAGCAGCAAAAACAGAGAGAGAGAGAGAGAGAGAGAGAGAGAGGTCTTCCATCTGCTGGCTCACTCCCTAATTGGCCACAATGGCTGGAGCTGCGCTGATCCGAAGCCAGGAGCTTCTTCCAGGTCTCCCACACAGGTGCAGGGGCCCAAGCACTTGGGCCATCTTCTATTGCTTTCCTAGGCCATAGCAGAGAGCTGGATTGGAAGTGGAACAGCTGGGAATCGAACAGGACCCACATGGGATGCCAGCACTGCAGGTAGCAGCATTACCCGCTAAGCCACAGCACCAACACCAAGAAAGTATTTTAATAGTAAGGTAAATAAGGTCTTTTCAACAGATATGGCAGTAGAAAAGTCTAATCTAGGACAGGAAAGAAGCCACAGATGCGGTGAATGACAAAATGAAAAAATGAAGCAATAAAAAATAAAGAAAGTAAAAACAACTGTTGTCGCTCCCCCTCTCGCGGAGGAACGACACCGGACCCTGCACTGTTCTCTCTGCCCGGCTCTTCCCGGGTTTGCTGCCGTTCCCTCACTTGCAGAGGAACGACGCTGTCCCAGCTTAGCTGCCGGCCCCCCTGCCTCTGCAGAGGGGCGGCACCCCCGCCGCTTTCCCCGCTTCTGCAGAGGAGCGGCACACTTCCGGCCGGCTCTCTCAGGGGCTGCTCAGATGTTTCCCCGGTGCATGGTGTCTCTCTCCTCCTTTATAGTCCTCTTCCACCAATCCCAACTCTGCTGCCCACACGCCGAGCACGCTGCTCTCCTCCAATCAGGAGCAGGATCAGCTCCTGCCACTTGTTAGTCAAATTGGCGAGGCAGCTGTGTAGAAGTTGTTTGCTCTCTCTCAGCGCCATATTGTGGGAGATCAGATGCATAGAATTAGTCCTAGTTCCAGTAATTTAGTCTAGTCTCAGTTGCTCCCCACAGTTCCCCCTTTCTTTTTATCCTTTGGCGTTGATATGCACCTGTCTTCGGTGCCCCGTGGCGCACACTCTGCTCCGCTCTGCTCGAGTTGCCCACAGGTGCTTATAGCCCTACCAATCAGGCAAACCGAATCCGGGTCCTCTCATCACCATGTTATGGGGAGGTTTTTAGGCGCTGATGCGTGCCTGTGTTCGGTGCCCTGCGGCGCATGCTCTGCTCTGCTCTGCTAGAGCTGCCCACAGGTGCTTACCGCCTTACTAATCAGGCAGACTGAATCCGAGCCCTCTCATTGCCGTGTTGTGGGGAGACTTTTATTGGTGTTGATACATGCCTATCTTCGGTGACCTGCGGCACATACTCTGCTCGAGCTGCCCGCAGGTGCTTATGGCCTTACTAATCAGGCAGACCAAATCTGAGCCCTCTCATTGCCGTGTTGTGGGGAGGCCTTTATTTTTCTCTATTTCTATCTCCGGGCATTCTTTTCTTATTTTACTTCTATCTCCCAGCATTCTTATTCCTCTCATTTTACTTCTACCTCCGGGCATTCTTATTTCTCTTATCCCCGCAGGTTCCTGGCGCCCCGCCCCGCAGCAGCCTCCCGGTTCCGTGCGGCTTCAGCCCGCGCTTCTCTTATCTGCGTGGCTTCCTGGCTCCGCGCACACCCTGCGGTCTATGCGCCTTTTGCGCTTGCCCCGCACTCTCCTATCTGATCGCGCCCCTGCACGCTCTCTCTGCGCTCGGCGGCTTCCGCGAATCATGGCCTAGCTCACATTTCTGCTACTGGTTTAGTTTTCAGTCTAAGTTCCCTGGGCTAACCTGACGAATTCCAACCTAGCTTACGTCTCCGCTTCCGGTTTGGCTTCCAGTCTTTTGCTCCCCAGGGCTAATCTGAAAAATACCAACCTAGCTTACGTCTCCGCTTCCAGTTTAGTTTTTCGCCTTTTGCTCCCCGGGCTAACTTGACGAATCCCAACCTAGCTTCGGCCTACCCCCGTGGCTTCACTTTCCCTAGCTTATATTTTTCTCTCCCCGGTACTTTTCCTAGCTTTCTTCCAACAATATTTCTCTCTCATTTCTCCTAGCTTCTCCCCACAGTCCGTATCCGAGTCTAAGTTTCTTCTAGCTTTCAATTTCGCTTTTAATCTTTGATTTCTCCTAGCTTCTCCCCGCAGTCTGTATCTGAGTTTTTTCTAGCTTTCACTTTCGCTTTCAATCTTAGATTTCTCCTAGCTTCTCCCCGCATTCTGTATCCGAGTTTATGTTTCTTCTAGCTTTCACTTTCACTTTCAATCTTAAATTTCTCCTAGTTTCTCCCCGCAGTCCATATCCGAGTCTATGCCTAGGCTTTCATTAGCTTCTTCCGGCACTTTTTCCGTCCGGCTTTTCCCTAGGCTCTTCCCTAGTCTCTCTCTCTGGTATTTTCCTGCTTTTTCCCTCCTAGGTTTCATATCCAAGTCACGGCACCATTATGTCGCTCCCCCTCTTGTGGAGGAACGACACCGGACCCTGCACTGTTCTCTCTGTCTGGCTCTTCCCGGGTTTGCTGCCATTCCCTCACTCGTGGAGGAACGACGCTGTCCCGGCTTAGCTGCCGGCCCTTCCCGGGTTTGCTGCCAGCCCTTCCCGGGTTTGCTGCCGGCCCCCCTGCCTCTGCAGAGGGGCGGCACCCCCGCCGCTTTCCCTGCTTCTGCGGAGGAGCAGCACACTTCCGGCTGGCTCTCTCGGGGGCCGCTCAAATGTTCCTCAGATGTTTCCCCGGTGCATGGTGTCTCTCTCCTCCTTTATAGTCCTCTTCCACCAATCCCAACTCTGCTGCCCACACGCCGAGCACGCTGCTCTCCTCCAATCAGGAGCAGGATCAGCTCCTGCCACTTGTTAGTCAAATTGGCGAGGCAGCTGTGTAGAAGTTGTTTGCTCTCTCTCAGCGCCATATTGTGGGAGATCAGATGCATAGAATTAGTCCTAGTTCCAGTAATTTAGTCTAGTCTCAGTTGCTCCCCACAAACTGTGGCAAAATAAATAAATAAAAAGTCACTTAAAACAACTGGGTTCAGCACTGCCATAGATGCTGGAATAGATTTTTCCTTGTTTTATCAGGAAAAGAGAATAAAAGATAAAGATAATGGTGCAAAAGGTTTTCCAATGGTCCTTGATAGGCAATACCAACCTGAAAAAATGTGACAAAAGGAAGCTAATATTGTATAATATGAGAGAGAATAGAGAAAGAAAAGGAAGCCAAAGAATTAGGAACAGTAAAAGTGTGCAGACACAGCACTTTCATAACAAAGAAGGTCAGCAACACTGAAAGAAACTAAGGTAATAAAAAATAGTGAAATGGCCAGCACCATGTGACAAATAAGAAAAGGTAAAGTGCATTGATCCGGAGATAACTGGAGATAACCAGTGAATTCTAAACAAACAGACTCAATGAATTGGTCACCATGGGTTCTAGATAAGAGAAATGAAAAAAAAAAAAAAAAAAAAAAAGCTAATGGCAAACAGACAAATGAAATCTTACGGAATAAACTACTTCAATTATACCTTATGCTTTTAACTCCATTACACTATGGTCTAGCTAAACACATAAGCATTTTTAACCATCTAGAAGAATAGTTAGTTATAAGATAATATGCTCACCTCATGGTGTATTCTCTGATAAACTTTTTGTTCATTGTCTAATACTACAAAAGATTCAGAGGGTGCTGCATCCCCATTGAAAATGAAGCTTAAATCCCCTCGTTGGCACTTCATGTCAGTAAAGTCTATGAGAGTTGTGTCAAGCCTGTAAAAGATGAGTAGATAAGAAATTCTAATAAATAAAATAAAGAATATTTAAATATACATTCCATTTTATTTACATTTTGCTTTTCTGAATATATACATCATCAATCCAGAAAAAAAAAAAAAAAAACTCCACATTGTTGAAGTAGTTCCCTCATTCCTCATTATAGATACTCAACAAAAATTGCTTCAACATGGATGCCAGAAAAGGAAAGCAGACCTGTTTCTAATATGTCTCACCCCTTTAAGACCATGTTGTTTGTCCAGCAGAATTTTTAAGATGAGCACAACAGTGAATGGAGTACACTTTTGGATTCAGAACTCCCCTTCTGATCTACATCCATGATTTATGTGGAACTATCCAGGATCAAACGTTGCTTAAGAAACTGGTTGGTTTAGCTGTTAACATATGCTAATCACACTCACCCAAGAAGTTCCTTTAAGTCATTTTGAAAGATCTAGCATGGCTACCTAACTTATAGGGCAATTATAAGAATTATCACTTCACGGTTTGTTTATTTTTTAAATTTTGAAGGACAAAGCAAAGTGAGTTGGCATTCTTTTTTGTTCTCCTACACAGGAAAAGCTAAAAAATAAAATATACCTCAGATGCTGCATAAACAGAATAACTAGGATTATATATAATTTATCATCAAAACCAGTAATTTTTAAGAATGAAGTTGAAGGGCTGGCACCATGGTGTAGTTGGTAAAGCCACCGCCTGCAATGCCGGCATCCCACATGGGTGCCAGTTCCAGTCCTGGCAGCTCTACTTTGAATCCAGCTCTCTGCTATGGCCTGGGAAAGCAGTGGAGGATGGCCTAAGTCCTTGGGCCCCTGCACCTGCATGGGAGTCCTGGCTCCTGGCTTTGGATAGGAACAGCTCTGGCCATTGCGGCCAACTGGGGAGTGAACCAGTCAATGGAAGAATCTCTCTTTCTCTCTTTCTCCGTCTCTCCTTCTCTATGTAACTCTGACTTTCAAGTAAATAAATAAATCTTAAAAAAAAAAGAAAGAATGAAGGTGATACTATTGAGAATATTATGAGAACAGGGATGACCCTATGTATAAAATATACATATCACATGAGCCATATACAATATATGCATCCCTCAGATGAAATGAAGACAGCCTAAAATAAGCAGTTCACCAGCTCCTCTAGGTGTGAACCCTGACTACTGCTTTATAGCTGAATTCTCCCTCCTGGTCCTTTCCCAAAGGTCTGCTACTTATACAGTTAAACAAGTCCTGTCACTGCCTATGTATATGGCCCAAGAGATAACACTGCTATTAAAATAGGGCTCATCCCCTACTCTTTGACATATGAGCTCCTAACAAAAGCAAAAGGAACAAATCATTTTATATATAACTGGACTATTTGAGTGAAAACCTTTAGCTACCAGGGAATTCTATGTTCCACATACAAGAAATATGAACCAGAAGTCTTCTGCTTCCAATCCCATCTTGCTCATCCAAGGTCAGGGTGGTAGTGCGCGACCAGGTGTGGATGATAAATGTTAAGGGAGGAGATTCAGAAGCAGAAAGACACAGACAGACTGACATGGTGACATTTGAGATCTTAGATGTAGCAATATTTAAATGAAGTCATAAAATTTCCCAATTATATAAATACACTCAATTTTTATATTTCTATAATTTAGAACTGAAAGAAGACTAATGTATCCTCCACAATATACCTGACATATTAGACAGCCCAGCAAGCTGTACCACATATGCTTTACAAACGATAAATTTATCACAAAGTTACTTTAATGTGTTAACTAGTTTTCTACATTAAGCCTATGAGCCTAAATATTTAAAGTTTACTATGTAATTAGCATGAAGAACAAAAAGATCTTCAAATAAATACAAAGATTTGAACAAAAAATATTGATTTTGAGATGAAAGCTTGAGAAATGACAAATAACACTGAAAAAAAAAAAAAAAAGAAATAAGCCTCCCATTAAGACAAGAAAAGCCTGAAATGAGGTAATTCCAATTATCCTTTCACTCAGTGGTTACAGATTACCTGTCATTAATGGTGAAAATGTTGATGCTTATTAGTATTCTCAAAGATAATGCTGTTCACATTTCCTATTGCTACTTAAGCACCAAACTTATCTAGGATATTTCAAGTTATTATAAAATTGTTCTGAGTTAAAAGTAATTTAAAAGTAACTGGAATTTATTCCAATTAAAGGTCATCTCATCAACAGTCAAAATGTTACACATAAATTTTCTCATAGATTGTTGATTTTTAAAAATTTCTTCCAATCGGTGCAGTGGCGTACTAGGTTAAACATCAAAACACAAATTCTTGCAGCTTCCTTCTCCCTCTCTCATGGGGAAATGTCAAAAGAGGGAGACTGGGGCCAGCACTATGGAGTAGCAGGTAAAGCTGCTGCCAGCAGTGCTAGCATCCCACATGGGTGCTGGTTTGAGTCCCAGCTGCTCCACTTTCGATCCAGCTACCTGCTGATGGCCTGGGAAGGCAGTGAAGGATGGCCCTGGTGCCTGGATCTCTGTACCCAGATGGGAGACCTGGAGGAAGCCCCTGGTTCCTGGCTTCAGATCAGCTTGGCTCCTGCTGTTGCAGAGATCTGGGGAGTAAATCAGCAGATAGAAGATCTCTCTGTCTCTCTTTCCATCTCTGTAACTTTGACTCTCAAGTAAATAAATAAATTTTTGGGCATGTGTTTAGTTCAGGGGCTAAGACTTGGAGTTAAGGTTAAGGCCACTTGGGAGATCTGCATCCCATATCAGAGTGCCAGGGTTCAAATCCCTGCTGCCATTCCAAATTCCAGCTTCCTGCTAATGTGCTCTCCAGGAGGCAGCAGGTACAGGGGTGGGGAATGTTGGACCACAAGCCATATAAGGCCCACAAAGTCATGTGGTTTGGCCTTGCCAAGGCAACCATAGGTGGGACTAGAAATTCAATACATCTATAGCAAGCTAGTATAATTTTGTATGGCCCACAAATGATGTCATAAATATCCAAATGACTCCTGGCAGAAAAAAGTTTGCCCACCCCATGCCACATGCACAGGTAATTAGGGTTGAGTTCCAAGCTCCCTGCTTCAGTCTGGCCCTGGCATGGCTATTGAGGGCACCTGGGGAGTAAACCAAAGAATGGAAGACCTCTCTTTATCTCTTTCTCTGCCTTTCAAATAAAAAAAAATAAATTTTTTGAAAGAAGAACAATGGCAGTAAGTCAGAAGACATATTTTAGCCATTATTTGTAAACGTTCTTATTAAAAAACACAACTTCTCTGAGGTTTCTTATCTATAAATGGAGAGTTTATGAGATAATCCTTAGGTTATTTCTAGTTTAGACTCTTACATATCCAAATTAGTATTATGGACATGTATAGAGATACAGGTAGACAAAATTATTTGTATTTATATATATATACACACACACATCATTTATAAATGTACCTATATTTGCATAAATATACAAGTTGTCTTATTTACTAGTATTATATGATTTATAAGTGTGTCCATAGTATTATAAAGCTAAAGATACAAAGAATGACGAAAGTGCAATTCTGAAGGACCGACACGGTGGCACAGTAGGTTAAGCCACAGTCTGCAGTGCCGGCATCCCATATGGGCACTCATTCCAGTCTTGGCTACTCCACTTTAGATCCAGTTCCCTGCTGGAATGCCTGGGAGAGCAGTGGAAGATAGTCCAACTCCTGAGGCCCTTGCACCGACTTGGGAGACCCAGAAGAAGCTCCTAGCTCCTAGCTTCATCTTGGCCAGCCTCAGCTGTTGTGGCCATTTGGGGAGTGAACCAGCATATGGGAGATCTCTCTCTCTGTCTCCTTCCCTCTCTCTCTCTGTGATTCTACCTTTCAAACAAATCTTAAATAAAGTACAATTATGAACTGAATAAAATAAGTAGATTTATTTCCAATAAATCCAAATATCAATCTTGATCCAAATGTCAATCTTCATTATAAAAAGAAAGGAACAGGGGTCGGTACTGTGGCACAGTGGGTCAAAGCCCCAGCCTGCAGCGCCAGCATGCCATATGGGCGCTGGTTCAAATCCCAGCTGCTCTACTTTCAATGCAGCTCTCTGCTGTGGCTTGCAAAAGCAGAAGACGGCCCATTGCTTGGGCCCCTGCACTGCATCCACATGGGAGACCAGGAAGAAGCTCCTGGCTCCCGGCTTCGGATCAGCTCAGCTCTGGCTGTTTCGGCTATTTGGGGAATGAAACAATGGATGGAAGACTCACTCTTTCCCTGGCTCTACCTCTATCTCTAAATCTATTTTTTAAATAAAAATAATCTTTTTTTTAAAAAAAAGGAATGGAACAGAAGAAAATTAGAATTAGCCACAAAGTGTTCACCACCAGACAGCTGGCAGAACTGATGAATGGATGGACATAAGGATAGGTAAACAAGGGAGAAAAGGATGTGTAGGAGATAGAGAAAAAGGCAAGAACTGGGTCTTCCTTTTGTGCTCCTTCTTCCTTAATCAACCTAGGATCTGGGAGATGACTATATCATATCTTGAGTATTGTATCAGAACCTTTATTCTGTTTGCCTTCTAGTTAGTCTGTAGTTGAAAAAATGGATTTTTCCTTTAGTCAGGGTCTTGTATCTTTGGTTCCTTATCTGTAATATGACTCAAATGAGATGAAAATATTGTGAATCTATTGCAACATTTTAAGTTATAAAACACAAATAAGCTATGATTACATGAAGAAAAGCTTCCTTTAAGTCTCAAATGCTTTTCACTCAGAATAAAAAAATCAAGTCACCTTACCTGATATTGATACCTTGTTTGTATATTTTACATGCATCAGAAGGCAGTATTCGGGAAAGTAAAGGCACTATATTTTTAAAAACAAAAGATAAAACTAATTAAATTATGAAACATTTACAAATTTTTAAATTAGAAGATTTAAATTTAAATGTAAACATTTCACTAATTCACCAAATTATAATACTTTCTTGTAAAACAGCATTTCTATTTTAAAAATGAATAAATACATAAAGTGATTCTGAGAAACTTCAACCATTTGACTTTTAATTTTAATCGCTGTACACTTTACTAAACCCCTATTCCACCCACAAACATATGTAGGAGTAGCAGAGTCAATATAATACCACTCTTGGGTACAAATTGCCTAAGATTACAAAAGAGTTAAAAATACTCAAATGGGTAACCAAACAGACCTGGATTCTATCAGATCCTGTAAATATAATTTGGAAAAATAGAAGGATAATAATATAGATAATAAAAAGAGACATCACTGAAGGGAGACAGTTGAATTTGAGTTTGAATACCAAATATATGCTCACTGTACTTCAGTTTCAAAATCTGAAAAATGAGAATCATACTGTTCACATATATATTTCTACATTCCAATGTTGCCATCTGTATGTCATATCCATATCACAAACTATATTCTGACAGCTTTTTATTATTCACTATCTGCTCTGTTTTGAGAAATAGAAGTTATCCCATGTATAAATAAATGTGTCTAACAAGCTGTAATAAACTATCAAACAAAAAAAATGAAAAATGTGAAGTTAAAAATTCTTGAAATTAAGATCATATTGCATATACATGTGTATGAGCCTATGTGTATACGTATATATGTGTAACATCTATTACATGTACATTGTACAAAATTCAGTGTTTTAAAACTGGGAGATAAATTAACCTAAGTTAGAAGGAAGCAAAGATTTTAGAGAAAATAAAAGAATAGGACTAGAAGGCCAGGTGTTAGGTACAGTAGTTAAGACATCACTTGGGATACCTGCATTCCATATTGAACAGAGTGTCTAAATTCAAGTACCAGCTATGCTTCCAATTCCAGTTCCTACTAATGCACACCCTGGGAGGCAGCAGGTGATGGCTCAAGTACATGGGTCCCTGCCACTCATGTAGGAGATTTGGATTGAGTTTCTGGCCTAAGTTTAGCCTACCTATCTTTAGCGTTTGCAGACATTTGGCATTTTGGGGGCAAACCAGTAAATAAAAAATCTGTGTGTGTGTGTGTGTGTGTGTGTGTGTGTGTCTTCCTTTCAAATAAATAAAAATAAATAAATAAAAAATTTAGGGGCTAGAGTTGTGGCATACCACGTAAAGCCATCTCCTGTGATGTCATCAATGCACATGAGGATTGGTTCATGTCCCAGCTGCTCCACTTCCCATCCAGTTCCCTGCTAATGGCCCCAGAAAAAGCAGCAAAGACGTTAACAAGTGTTTGGGCCCCTATCATCCTTGTGGGATACCCAGCTGAAGCTCTCAGCTCCTGGATTCAGCCTGGCCCAGCCCTGGCCGTCGTGGCCATCTGGGGGATGAACCAGCAGATGGAAGATTTCTTTCTCCCTGTAACTCTGGCTTTCAGATCAATAAATTAATTTTTTAAAAGATTTAAAAACTAGAAGTAGCTTTTCAGTAAATTTTTCTCAAATAATCAATGAGTATTTTCTAATTAACATTAAAGGTATACCTAATATATCAATGTCTCTTCTAGACCCTAAAAAGTCATTTAATCCAAAATGATTTCCAGTATGAAAGACAGATTTTTGAACTTTTTATTATTATATAGATAAGAAAGTTTACTGTCTGAAGGGAATAGCTCTAATAGTTACCCAAGTTAAAGAATATAAGAATCATTATCATGGGGTACACATTTGGGGCATCAAATAAGTCTCAGCTTGGGATGCCTGTATCACATGTCAGAATGCCCAGCTCAAGTCCCATTTACTCTGCTCATGGATCCACCTTCCTGCGCACGTGCAACCTTGGCAGTGGCAGATGAGGCTGCAAGTATTTGGTCCCTACCACCCACATGGGAGACCTGAATGGAGTTCTAGGTTCCTGGCCTTGGGCTAGCCCAGTCCTGGCTGTTTGGGCATTTGGAGAGTGAACCCCAGATGGAAGATTGCTCTCCATCTGTCTTTCTGTTTGTCTCAATCTTTTAAATTAAATGAAAGTAAGAAAGCTTTTTTTTTTTTTTTAAGAAAGAAACAAACAAAGAAAGACATCATTCTTTGACAAAATTTCTACTGTTCTTAAACAAAAGTTGGGAAAAGCAGTAACATTTTTATAAATCTATGAAGGATCAAAACTCTACCTTCATGCTCACCAACTGAGCTCTTATCCATAAGTAATGGCCTAGCATGATCCAGAGATGCTTAGAAGTAGACAGCACTAAAACTTAATTTCATTTATTACATATTTTGAAGTATGATCATCTACAAAACAAAATTTAGTATCATACCAATACCTACTTGTCAAAAGTCAGAATAAGATGGGAATGCAATGAGAAAACAAGTTGGGTATGGAGAGAAAAGGCTAAGAAAAAAAGTAAAGAAGGAAACTCATCAAGCAAAGATTATTGCTAGATTTTAATGTATTCCACAAATGGAGCAACTTATATTTTCCCATTCTATAGTGATCTTTTTCTCCCTCAAGTAAACTGAACAATTAACCTCTCTGTATCTGAAGTTATCTAGTATCATCTGAGACTCTAGCACAGTACTTCAAAGGTAGCATAATTCACTAAACTGAAAATGAAGAGCTTTTTAAATTTTAAGGTTGATTTTGTTACCATTTATTCCTTGATTTCAAAAAGTTTCTAAATCTAACATTTTTCATCTACAATATGTGAATAACTGCCAAATACGAGATGGATAGATTCGGTGGACAAAAAGATAAAAAGTATTTTAAAAAACTATGGGCTTTTCCATTGATATGTGTTAAATACACAATGCTAAATTTGAAGTAGTTATCATAATATTATAAATTAACATCGTAATGTTAAAGTTAAAAGGCTTCCTTAAAAAAGTGATTTCATTTCATATACACAGAGAATAGGACTGTAATATATGAGGCAGTTACAATTTGCCATAATTTTTGAAGAATCTACTGCTCAGAAAAGATACAGTCTACCACATCAAAATCTCAGTAGTCCATATGCTAACAGTTTTGACTTTAAGTCACTAAATGCCTTTATCAACAGTGAGACAAATGTGCTATGTTTTTGTATCAAAGGTAAATTCTCAAAAAAGGAATACTTCTATCCAGTTATATCAAAATTTGATTATGTAACATTTATAATGTAGCATTTATAACTGCAGATCTATATATAATTCAGAAGTACTTGTATCCCTTCACATAACTGAAATGTTATTAAAAATATTTTATAACATTTTGTTCAAGAAGATAAATTCATTATTTTATAATTCAGATCACTAAAAATTACTAAGACAGTCAGTTAAAGAGCCAACATACTCAAGGGACAACCCAGTTTAGGATCATCAAGAAGGACTGGGGTCTCTACACATGGGGGAAAAAATGGGATGAAAAATAGTATCCAGGCTTTACAGTCATCTAACTTCAGGCTCTTTTATTATACAAGCCTACTATAAATCTTTTCTTTCTGTGTTCTGGAACACCAGGACTCTGGGTGACATAAAAGACACAAAGGCAAGATATACTATCATAGTAACACGTTTTATATCAACAAAGCCAAAACTAGCCTGATGAGCTCAAATAACAGTGATGAGTAACAGTGCAGGAAAAGAATAATTACACATGGAGTTTACAACTCTACAATTAGGGGCCGGTGCTGTGGCACAGTGGGTTAAAGCCCTGGCCTGCAGTGCCGGCAACCAATATATGCACTGGTTCAGTGTCCCGGCTGCTCCTCTTCTGATCCAGCTCTCTGCTATGGCCTGGGAAAGCAGCAGAAGATGGCCCAGGTCCTTGGGCCCCTACACCTACGTGGAAGACCCATAAGAAGCTCCTGGCTCCTGGCTCCTGGCTCCTGGCTTCAGATCGGTCCCACTCTGGCTGTTACAGCCATTTAGGGAGTGAACCAGCAGATGGAAGTCCTCTCTCTCTGTCTTTCCCTCTCTCTGTAATTCTGTCTTTCAAATAAATATAAATCTTTAAAAAAAAATTCTACGTTTAAAGATTAAGTACATTGGGAAACCTTAACCATCCATGCCATAAAGTACTACACATTTGTTAAGTATTTCCACAGGAACTAACATGGTAAGATATCCACAAAATATTGAGTAAAAATGTCAATCTGTATAATATCTTTGTGATCCCATGGGGATAAAATCTAATCTAAGGGAATGTGAATATATGTACATGTACGTATGTGTGTGAATACACATTAATATATCTAATATATATATATGTGTGTGTGTGTATACATACATAAATTTGAAAGCATTAAGAAGTATTTTAAAGAATTCATATGAAATGATAACAGTGATTGCAGTAATGGGAAACTTAAAAATATTTGGTAATTTTCCATGATGTTCTAAAACTTTTACAGTTACTACTCTATTAAAGTTTCAGTAATATCTGATAATAACATTAGTACTAACTTGTGAATTGTATTAGTCAAAGACTACTAACAAGGGAACTACAGGATAATTATTATCACTACAAGACTTTAAAACCGTTATATTCAATATCATGAAAACATTTAATTTTCCTTAAAGTATAAAATTTGTTATGCTAACAATTCTATATAAGTTAATTCTGTATTTGCATTTCTGCATGAATACATATATTACAGTAAAATATAGCATATGCTTACCCCAGCTTTGAAAATCCCAGTGAAGTTCTAGATAAAAGTCACCTAGCTAAGAAATAAAATGTAAGTAATTACTAAATATATCTTGTTTAGTAACAGCTCTTATATCTGCTTAATATTTTGCTTTAAAAACCATTGTATCACTCAAATTCTATAGAAAGAAGTTAAAAAATTAATTTAAGTATTTGGAGTTTGAGGAAGAAATTTTTAAAAAATACATGGTCATTGCTTACAATAAAATATAATAGCGCACATTATCATACTTAACTACAAAGGAAAATAAGCATCACTAAAAATTTTTACAAGAACAGAGGCCAGTGTTGTAGCTAGCATGGATAAGCTACCATTTGCAACATGGGCATCCCATAGCAGAGTACCAATTTAAGCCCTGGCTACTCTGCTTTCAGTCTAGCTCTCTGCTAACATGCCTAGAAAGGCAGCAGAAGATGTCCCCAGTACTTGGGCCACTGAAATCTACATGGAAGACCAGGAAGGATTTTCCAGGCTCCTGGCTGCAGACTGATCTGGACCTGGCTGTTGTAGCCATTTGAGGAGTGAATCAGAAGATGGAAGATTTCTCTCTCTGTGTGTCATTATGCCTTTCAAATAGCTAAAAAAATTTTTTTACAAGAACATATTCATCAAATAAGAACATATCTGAACCTGTTAAACATTTAAGATGATAGCAAATACTCCATTTCTGAGTATAATTAAAATGATGATAATAATAGGCATTATTTTTAAAAAACAGTTAACTTTAGAAGGCTGCTCCACTTGCAATCCAGCTCTCTGTTATGGCCTGGGAAAGCAGTAGAAGACGGCCCAAGTATTTGGGCTCCTGCATCCATGTGGGAGACCCGGAAGAAGCTCCTGGCTTCTGGCTTCGGATTACTCAGCTCAGGTTGTTGGCAGCCATTTGGGGAGTGAACCATTGGATGGAAGACATCTCTCTCTCTACTTCTGCTTCTATGTAACTTTGCCTTTCCAATAAATAAATAAATCTTTAAAAAAATAAAAATTAAAATGACCAGCAAAATGATTACTTGTATAGATCATAGAAGTCTTCAAAAAATGGCCCATGGGGGCAGCACTGTGACACAGCAGGTTAAAACCCTGGCCTGAAGCGTCAGCATCCTATTTGGGCACTGGTTCCAGTCCCAGCTGCTCCTCCTCTGATCCAGCTCTCTGCTATGGCCTGGGAAAGCAGTAGAGGATGGCCCAAGGACTTGGGCCCCCGCACCCACGTGGGAGACCCGGAGGAAGCTCCTGGCTCCTGGCTTTGGATCGGCGCAGCTCCAGCCGTTGCGGCCATCTGGGGAGTGAACCAGCAGATGGAAGACCTCTCTTTCTGTCTCTACCTCTCTTTGTCACTCTGTCTTTCAAATAAATAAAATAAATCTTTAAAAAAAATGGCCCACTGTGATAGAAAGTTTTCTGTGGGTAGTGAAACACAAGTTCAATAAATGTGAAACATGTCATCCTATGAGATCCATGAAGAAAATTTTTATTTTGTAAATTAGATACAAAATACTAAGTCTTTCGTATACTATTAACAATCAAATGTTCTCAAAAAATTGTATATATTTTGAATGTAAGTAAAGCCCTGCAAATATACTAACATCAACAAGTTAGTTTTTCCTATTTTAAACAATGAAAAAAGCGAACTTAAATGTAGATATTATTGCAACCTAAGTAAAGCATTTTTAAGCTCTTTTTATATCTCTTTATATCTCAGAAAAAGCAACAGCAACCCTAAGAGAATATCACTAACACAGATCTTTCTCCCACAGTTCTTTCAGACGTCAAAAATACAAAGAAAGAGAACAACAGAAAATAATCTAAGACTTAGCTCCTTTTTCTCAAGAGCTCTTATCTAATATACTCAAAGTCAAAAATTATTTTCCTAGTTCAAGGTAAATGGTGCTCTACTAAGATTACACTTGTATATTATAACAACAGTATTTTTGTGATTTCAATTACTGTTTAACCTAAGTATGATTTTTTACCACTTACTGACCCTCCTTAGTAATCATGAGAATTTTGAGTATATTTTTTGACATTGCTAAAATTACCTTTACAATTACCCCTTAGATGTAAAATCAGCAAAGAAATATAGCCTACCTCTTTCAGGGCTTTTAATAATCGAGGTCGTTTTTCTTCAACACTTTCCCTGGACTGCTGCTTAAGTTTCCTTAGTAGAGCTGTAACTAAAGTTTAAAAGAAAAAAAAACAACAATTTAATGTAATTTTCCATGCTAGAAAACAGCTTACTACATATAAAGATAAAACACATGTACATGTCTCAATATGTTTTATTCTATTTTATTTTTTTTGAAAGACAGAGAAAGCCCCCTTCTTTTGGTTCACTCCCTGAATGCTCACGATCTCCAAGACTGGCAAGGCCAAAGCCAGGAACCAAGAACTCAATCCAGGTCTCCTACCTGGGTGACAGAAATCCAACTACTTGAGCCATCACTTGTTTCCAGCCAATATCTATATAGCAGGAAGTCAGAATTGGGAGCCAGAACTGAGACTCAAACATCCCAACTTGGCATCTTACCACAAAACCAAATACCTGCACTTTTGTGGTTTTTTTTTTTTTTTTTGAGATTTATTTATTTATTTATTTGAAAAGCAGAGTTACAGAGAGGCAGAGAGAGAGAGAAAGAGAAAGAGAGAGAGGTCTTCCATCCGCTGGTTCACTCCCCAAATGGCCACAATGGCTAGAGCTGAACCAACCCAAAGCCTGGAGCCAGGAGATTCTTCCAGGTCTCCCACGTGGGTGCAAGGGCTCAAGGACCTGGGCCATCTTCTGCTGCTTTCCCAGGCCATAGCAGAGAACTGGATCAGAAGTTGAGCAGCTGGGACTTGAACCGGTGTCCACGAGGGATGCCAGCACTGCAGGTGGCGGCTTTACCTGCTTGCTATACCACAGCGCCAGTCCCTCTCCATATATTTTTAAAAGTCCAGAATTAAAAAAGCAATGTCTTAATAACTGAAGGTCTCCTGGAGTTGTAGAAGCCAAGACATAGAATTCAGGGTACATCAGAGTTAAATTTGCAGAATAGGATGGTAACTAAGGTTAATATGACTGATATTAAACCCCAGGAATAATGAGAAGAGAGAACTCAACATCAACCTGTCACCCATGTGGGAGACATGGCCTGGCTCCTAGATTCACGCTGGACAAACCTCACCTATTGTGGCCTTTTGGGTAATGAACCAGTGAATGAAAAATCTCTGTCTCTTTCTCTCTGTGTCTTTCCTGCACTCTTTGTCATTGTGCCTTTCAAATAAATCTAAAGGTGCAAAAAAGAATCTCATTGGATATCCCACTGGGTAAGCCACCAACACAGTATAAAAATTTATAAATAGAGGCCCACACTGTGGCGCAGTGGGTTAATGCCCTGGCCTGAAGCACCGGCATCCCAAATGGGAGCTGGTTCGAGACCAAGCTCCACTTCCGATCCAGCTCTCTGCTATGGCCTGGGAAAACAGTAGAAGATGGCCCAAGTATTTGGACTCCTGCACCCACATAGGAGACCTGGAAAAGGCTCCTGGCTCCTGGCTTCAGATCAGTGCAACTCTGGCCGTTGCAGCCAACTGGGGAGTGAACCATCGGATGGGAGACCTCTCTCTCTCTCTACCTCTCCCCTCTCTGTGTAACTCTCACTTTCAAATAAATAAATAAATCTTTTTTTAAAAAAATCTATAAATAAACTCTATTTTAGCTGTGAAAATAACTGAATCTAAAAAAGGTAAAAATATAGCTTTTCTTAGCAAGTGTTTTCTGAACTGTCAGGAGACTGACATCTGACACATTACTAGTTTACTACAAATTTTACTACTTATCAGTTATGGGTAAATTTGAACAAGTTACTTATTTCCTTAAATGTCAGTTTCTTTTTCATTTGTTACATCAGAATAAATGTAAAAGCTACTATGAATGTTATTATATACATGGAATATAAATTGTTTACTATTGTGCCTGAAATTAAACATAATTTTTATGTTAGAATGAAGATCTAAAATTAGCTGACAAAAATCAATTCATCCTTAACATTATCAAAGTAAGGGAAAAAATATAAGATTTGAATGAAATAAACCTAGCAAAAAGTAAGGACATGGATGTTGACTTCCTCCTGGTCCTGACATATTTTTTTCCTTGTATACACACACACACCCACATCCACACACACATACACACACACGCATATATTGAGGGTTTCTTTTTGCTGTTGTTTTTACTATTTTACAATATGCATTCTTGTAAATCATTTTTGTATGTGGAATACAAAATACAGAGGCAAAAGGTAAATTTAAAAAAAAAAAAAGAAGAAGAAGGAAGTAAAAGTTTAGATCAGATTTGTTTTGTCCACATAGGTCTAATTAGGAAAAACTCCAGAAAGGACATGAAAAATAGTAGGACCTATTCTTATTTTTAACCACAGGTCTAACTATAACTCCAGTATATTTTCAAAACCCAGAATAAAAAAGCAGTATTTAAATTACTGCTGGTCTCCGGAAACAGTAGAAGCTGAGACATAAAAGCAAAGAAACACGAGCCCCAATTTCAGTTATACCATTAACTAGCTTTGTGACCTACATCAGTAAGCAGTTCCCAAACACTAATCTACATTTTCAGTGTTCAATTATTCAAGTTTCCACTGATATGCAACTAAATAAGAAAAACTGGGAACTGGAATATGTTTTCTTCTTCACAAATTATCTATTTTTAAATGAATGTTGGTCATAGAAAAGAAAAGTAGTTTTCTGTTTTATTTTGGTTGATGGTCTTATAAGCTAAAATTAAAAGGTTGGTTCTCTACATCAATCTTCAAATAAAATCTTTGATCTGTGAAACTGCAGAAGCCAATAACCTAGATACTCTTTTACAGTTTCAAATTTGTACAAATCCAGCCTTTGTGATGATCTACCTTCAAATTGAAATGGAACTATGCAGAACAGAAAGAATTCTATTTGGGGGAGGAGGACAGGGGAGAGAATCTCAATATAAAACAAAAGCCAAAAAATTCCATCAACCTAATATGATTTCATCAACTAAACATAATTGTATCTGACTTGAAGGCAATTAGTTAAGTGTCAGAAAAATATGAGAAAATATTACAAAGGTAGTAGCAACAACTATATATAATATAGTAATATGAGGGCCTTAAAACATTTGTGGAAAAAATAAGTTTATTTTAATGCACACACATTTTTAAAATTTGTGCCTAAGTAGGATCTTCAAAAAGTTCATAAAAATGCATACTATGAAAAATTATATATGGATTTTATTCTTTGTACCAAAATAAACAACTTCAAATTCTATTTTCCACAAACCCTCTGAAGCATCCTTGTATATGTAAAGACATAACCTGTTCTATGAGAATTCACATTTAAAAATAATACCAACTCAAAAATTTTTCATGGGTGCACATTCAGAAAGCTGTTACATAAAATAACCAGTATGCTTTTTAGTAATCAGTATTGGTACTCCTATAGTGTAAAAATCTTATTAACACTGTTTATACTGAGGATAAAATTCACTTTAGAGGATTTAGGAGGTATTAGAATTCGAAGATTCAAATGCAGAATTCCAACAAACTGTAACTAACTTACCTATTTCTCTCATCCTTCTCCCACTTGAGTTTTCAATTTGTTTAACCTAAAGGTTTTGAAATTGGCCTACTACTCTAAGTAGTATTTAAATTTATGTCTTTCATCTTTCACTTCCTTCTAAGGCTGCACTCCCATTCCCCACTTCCTAGTTAAGCAATTGTTTCTGCATGTACCACGAGAACTCAAACTCAACAATTCTAACATAATCATTAAATCCACACTGTACTTCTTTCTATATTCTGTGTGTCGATTAATAAAGGAGATCACCATCAATCTATGCTAGACACTTTGGAGTTACTCTGAATCCTTTTGTCACTACCTATACTTTTGTACTTGATCTGAAGAATTACAAGGAACTGGGACAGCAAGGGGAGGATACAGGGGTATAAAGAGTAGGGGAAACTGAAAAGCCAGCTGAGCTAAGATACAGAAAGTCAGTTGGAAAAAAAAGAGACGAAAAAGTGACACTATCACACTGGACCTTATACAAGCCAAGTTAGAGATTTTGGTCTTCATTCTAAGAACAGGGAGTTTAAAGTTGGAGAGTAGCGGCAGGCATTTAGCCCATCAGTTAAGATGTCACTAAAGGGGCTGGCACTATGGCTTAGTCACCGCCTACAATACGGCTATCAGTTCGAGTCCCAGCTGCTCCACTTCTGATCCAGCTCTCTGCCAATGTGCCTGGGAAAGCAGTGGAAAATGGCCCAAGTCCTTGGGTCCTTGAACCCATGTGGGAGACCTAGAAGAAGTTCCTGGCTCCTAGCTTCAGACTGGCCAAATTTCAGCCTTTGCAGCCATTTTGGGAAGTGAACCAACATATGGAAAATCTCTATCTCCCCCTCTCTATGTCTCTCTCTGTCTTTCTGTAACTCTGCCTTTCAAATAAATAAATAAATCTTAAAAAAAAAAAAAAAGATGTCAACAAAGGTGCCCACATTCCTCACTGGAAAACCTGGCTCTAGCTCCTGACTCCAGCTTCCTGCAAGGGTGGATCCTGGGACACAGTGGTGATAGGTAGAGTATGAATGCCTGCTACTCACATGGAATACCCAGATTGAATTTCTAGCTCACATCTTCAGCTTGGCCAAGCTCCAGACATTGCAGGCAACTAGGAGTAAATTGGCAGGTGGGAATGCCTGCTCACTCTCTCTTCCCGCTCCCTTGCTCTCTCTCATTCTTTCTCATAAATAAACAAAAAGGAGAGTAATATGACCAGAAAAAAAAAAATATAACAAATTGTTAAGTGGCTACCTTTGTATTAAATTATTTTCTTCTTTTTTCCCCTATAATTTCCTAATTTTCTACAACAAACATCATTACTTTCACATAATACAAAAAATTAAACAGTTTTAAACACTCAAGAGAGTTATGGAAAATTAGAGTCCAATACTTTTAAGAAAAAATTTGATTTTTGATAAGTAGTCTCAAATTTTCTTTGTAGTTTTTAATCACTTCTTCATTAATTCATTGGAAAAACAGAGGCCTTGCAATCTGTGATGCTGGTATCACCATATGTGCACAGGTTTTAGGTCCAGCTGTTCCACTTCCCAGCCAGCTCCCCACTAATGCACCTGGGCCCAAGTGC